CCTTCCCTCTGCTGTGCATGAGATCTGAAGGTTTTCCACAGCCTATTTCCTACTTGGAATATACACAGAAGCTGGCCCCTTTTTCATTATTTATAAAGTGCAGAAAGGCATGATAAAAATTTTTGTTCAGGGTCTTCAGGCTAAAAATCTATTCCAGGTTCTCTTCCCTTCAGAAAGAATCTATGATAAATCACCCAGCACATTTCTATTATTACATAGTTGAGTAAGTTGCATTTGTTTTCAGGCCTCTCATCTGACAAATAAGAGCTCACGCTGAAATATGATAGCTGTATAAAGACATCAGTCACCAATGAAAATATCTAAAACAGGTAAATATTTCCATATTACCTTTGTAATCTCTGTAATCTATACACACTACAAATCAGATACAATGTGGCTTTTTAGCCCAACTTGCATAAAGTTAGTATCTAAGAATATTTACAAGACTTAAAATTTACAAGATCAACATTCAATTCTTCTACTTGGAAATGTAAATTAAGTTTATTTGTAAAGTTCCAAACCACCAATATACAATCAGCTTCCAAAGCAGTTCAAAGAGCTAACAAGCTTTGGCTTGCTATAATGTGCAACTAGCAGTACTGCTTGAAGATTATTCAGACTTCATTTGGACCAGGGGATGCTATGAGGCACAGTACACCTCATAGGAGACTAGTATGGACTGGTATGCCATGAGCCTGTAGAAATTTCAGTCACACTTCTCCACTAGCACAGATAAGCATTCCTCTTCTCAAGAATGAGGAGAAATATTTATTCCACTGTGTCACCCTTTTTGTAACTGACAGGTGAATAATTCAAAGAAGTTTTTGTTCTATATTATCAAATAAGATATTTCTCGGCAAGCTGAATTATGTTTGTCAATTAGTGCAACCCATTATTAATGCACACTCAATGCAAACAGTTGTATAGCAACTTCTATGGGACCTGATTGTTAATTATTTTGATGGCACACAGACCACACACCATAACCAGAATTTCCAGATATTCTTGACTGCTCAGCTGGGCAACCTTAATGCCCATAGCTACTGATTTAGGGTCCATCAGTTATTTGGCATGAATAAAAAGACACATAGTATATGTGCACAAGAAAACTGAGGAATCATTGCTGGAATGTCCTGTAACCCTCCATGTAAACTTTATCAGTTAGAGCTCACATGGGGAAAAAAAAATACACCTACAATAGAAATGTCAAAATGTCAAAAGCACAATACATGTGAATAAGCGTCCCAGGACTACTTTCTGTGGTTTTCTATGTACTAGCCAGTCAGTGTAGCTACCACCAAATTTGAATGAACAATAGCAATCAGCTTTTTTTTCTACATTCAAAAATATACTACAGCAAATCCTGATTAGTTCAGACTAATGGGCCAGAAACTTTGAGTTAGAACAATAAAAGTTAATATAAAATACACAGTGGTATGTAACTCACTTTACACACCTCATGAGATTGTAAAAAAAAAATATGAATATGGATCAAAGGAAACTTTTGTGAGCTATAGTGGGGAAAACAAAAAAAACAAAAAAATTAAACAGAGTGAAAAAAAATTTAATGCAAATAATCACTTCCTAATTAATCAGTTTTGTATTTTTTTTAAAATACTGAGACTTCACAATGCTGGAAAAGGTAAGAAAGAATTAAGTTACTACATATGGTAATAAAATAACAAAAACTAGTCAACTAAGCACTCCTTAAAAGAAAAATGCTCTTAAAATACCTTCACAAAACTGACAGAAACATCCTATTTATACCTAAAATCTAACCTTTTAATGGAGATGTCTACAGAGATCAGTGTCCTTACTTTAGTTAGGGAAAGGAGGTTAAAATGACAGCATAATTCAAACTTGCTGGGAAAACATTCAAGTATTACTTGCTACAATATGAACCAGAATTTTTTTTTTTTTTGCTTTTTGGTGAGGCAATTGGGGTTAAGTGATTTGCCCAGGGTCACACAGATAGTAAGTGTCATGTGTCAGACCACATTTGAACTCAGGTCCTTTTGACTCCAAGGCCAGACCTCTATTCACTGTGCCACCTAACTGCCCCCAGAACTATTTTTCTAATAGTTTCTTTCACTGGTCCCCTATATGAAATATGTGATCTAGACAACAGGTGGGTCAGTACCATGGCTAAATTTCACTATACTTTCCAATAACCCCTATACAATACAAAAGGATATAATTATACAGTTTGCCATGCATATGGAAATAAGGAAAAAAATAAAGAGTAGGATAATAGGAACCCTTAATTGAGGATAGATTGGTCCACTAACTCTCCTTGAAAAGAACACATGCATTCCCACCTAGGCCTTTTTGTTCTTGGTATCTTTTCAATAGAAAATGCCCTCCCCTTCTCCATCGTTTCAAAAGCTTCAAGGCCCTGCTCGAGTCCTATTGCCTCATAGAAACCTAACTTGACATCTTGAACCCTTTGGATTTTTCTGAGGTTATGCACTTAACTGCCTTATGGAACTGCCTCTATCATCATTTCACACTTCTCTCATTTAGCTGATCAAATATCCATCTCTTCTTCTTAACTAAGCCCTAAGTTCCTTGAGACCAGATCTTTATCTCTCCCAGAGCACAATGCAAGATATCAAGTAAGCTTTCAAAAAATATCAACTAATGGTATACTATAGTATAATTTAGTCTTTCAATATCGGATCTATATTCTTTACTTTGTAACATCTTAGTTTGCAATTATGGTTTTCTATTATTTTATTATGATGATGCCAATGCATTAAATATTATATTATACTGTAAATATTATATATATTATACAGTATACATTATTATATGAAGAAGGGAATAAACATTTGTTAGCACTTACTATATGCAAAGAACTATGCTAAGCACTTTTTTAAAACAAATACCATCTCATTTGATCCTCACAACTTCTGTGCCAGGCAGCTGCTATCCAGCATTAAAATGTATTAATTCATCTTTGGCATGACAGAACTTAGTGATGGTTCCCTATTTCCATTATTCTATATTCCCAACAGTTCTCAATTCTACAACATAAATAAAGAGCCCCCAGGGGGTTAACAAAAAGTAGCCTCATTGCTATATGTGAGAGTAGAGCTATGCACAGGGAGAAGAGGGTATTTTATGATAGATAGTATTTTAGAGGAAACCAAAGGCCTCCCAATCTAAAAATATCTTCCTGTGAGCACATGCATTGAGCTTGAAATGTGTTAGAATTAACAACTAGAATTCCCTTGGATTAAACTACAAAATGTCCCTCTATTAAAAGTGTAATTATGTTACACAGGAAAGGTGAAATAAAGGTGAAAGTCATTATTATTCATGAAAATCTGAGCTTAAATTAGTTTATCACATTTAGCTAACTAGTTCAGGGAGGGTCTGGTGAAAAAGTAGATGCACTGCTCTTCTGACGGAGGAAAGGGGTAAAGAAAGATCTAAAAGAGAAAGCACCACTGAGGAACATCAGTCCCTTGTCCAGGTCTACACATTTTGAGGTACATTTAAAGACCAGAGAAGTACAACAAGAGACAGAATGGAGTACAAGAATGTTTCTCATTACAATTTTGCATAAGGGTTGAGCTACCTACTATGAGTTTAAAGTCAATTTTAAATAAAACTTTTTATTCATAGTCAAACTTTACTCTGATATTCCAACATAGTCAATATTTACTGCAATCGTCGAAGACTATTGGAAAGGAATGGCTAAAAGGCTGTCACCCTACTTTCAGAGTGATGGAGGAGGCAGCATATATGCCTTTTTGCTGTTCAGTTGCTTCTGCCTCTTCATTTGGTGTTTTCTTTGCAGATACTGGAGTGAATTGCCATTTCCTTCTCAAGCTCATTTTACAGATGAGGAAACTGAGGTATACAGGGTTAAGTGACCTGGTCACACAGCTAGTATGGATCTGAGGCTAGATTTGAATTCAGGAAAATGAGTCTTCCTGACTTTAGGCTCAGTGCTCTATTCACTGTGACACCTAGCTGCCCCTAAGCATATGCCTGACATCCCTATATGATAGGCAGTATGGTCTAGTGGAAAAAGCACTAGACTTGGAAGAGGAAAATCAGGGTCCAAATCCTGGTTCTTCTATTGACTATCTCTGTGACACTGGGTAAATCATTTAAATCTCTTTGGGCCTTAATTTCCTTACCTCTATCTGAGGGGACTGGCCTAAATAAAGTCTATGGTCTTTTCTAGCTTTAATCCTACGATTTATAAACATAAGTTTATCACATTCATGTCATTAGTCAGAAATCTATAGTCATTTTGCTTAAATGGAAAATAAACCATACCCAAATTTTGGAAGTGTTTATGTTCAGTATCATTCAACAGATAACTTTTTCTAATATAGGTAAAATGAGCTAATTTAAAGTGCACATAAAGGAAGCATATCACATGAGAACACAGTGAAAGTTAGCACCATCCCCATCCTGGTGACTGAACCTTCCTAAATCATTCTAAAACAAAAAAAAACCAACACATTTAGAAAAAAAAAAAGAGAAAAGAGTTCTAAACCCTCCAACTTTCCTGAGGTTTGCACACCTTCCTGAGGTTGACTTTAGGATACAACAGTTTTGTTTCTACATTGTAGCCCAAAGGCAAGTGAAATTGTATGTTTAAATTAAAACATCAATATTACCTTGGATTTTGTACTTGTTCCGATGGCTAAATCAAATGTGCAAAGAGAAACACATGCTTCTGACTTTCATGAAAGATTTTTTTTTATCTCAGAGGACAAAGATACTTAAATATAATACAAATTTAAGTACAGATTTTACAGTACATGTAAAAATAGCTAAATATACAAAGAATTGCATGGTAGTATGCCTTAGCTGGTGATCTTTGCCACATGCCACTATTTATTTCTCCCTTACAAATTACAATTATCACTTACAAAACCTATCATGTTTCAGATAACAATGGAGGAAAATGATGAACGTACTTGTCTGGCGTGCACATAAGAAGTGTTGTGTGGAGGTAGCATATTCAGTCCCCTTACCTGTAGAAGGGATACTGTCTGCGAAAAGTGGTGCTGCTCCATGGTTGAGGTGGAATAGAGAGCTGCCAAAGGGTGATCAAACTTCTGAAGGTAGCTATTACTGAATCCCCTGTGGTCCAGGTCATGACACAGGCATGCAATCAGAAGTCCTTTTCGCTAAGGAAATGTAGCACAGATGTTCAGAGGAAGGAAATGGGCTGGGATGAGACTCATACCTTGCCCTGAATGTCACATTAACAATTTTCAATAATGCTATCAACTGCCACTTGTCCCCACAGAGAAACATGTAGATTCTGCCAGCACTTAGCACAGTGCCAGACACACAGTAGGCACTTAATAAACGTTTATTGATTATTGATTGATTGACAAGATCCCAGTCCCAGCCTTTTCCCTTTCTTCTTTATCTTCAGCTGAAACTTCCCCAGGGGAATCCAATTTCTCTATTCATTTATAGTCAGTGTGATAGTGAAGGAAAAGGGTGAAAGAACAGAGACAAAGTATCAGTAAGGAAACTGACGTGGAGCAAATCACATTCATTTGGATTTTTAAAAAATTATCTGTGTGTCTGTCTCATTCTTCTTTACTCTGAATGAGAACTGACTATAGGTCAGACAAGGGTTCAATTAACAACAAGTAAAGGATATATGGAGGGGAATAATGAAAAAAAAAAAAGCCAAGAAGATAAAACTGTGCCAAGGACTGAAGGCCCTTGAATGTCAGGGAAAACAGAACTTTCTTTGGTAGGTAGTCATTGAAGACTTTAAGTACAGGAATTGATATGATTAGTTCTATGCCTCTGAGAGACAATTCTGTTACGGATATGAAGGACAAACTGTTAAGGGGAGAAAGTACGGGACAGGAAGATATTACAAAGTCATCATATTAGTCAAAGTTGGTGACAATGAGGGCCTGGACTAGAGTAAGGACATTAGCAACAGAAAGAAGGGGAGAGATATGAGAAATGTTACAGAGATAGATTGTACAGAACTTGGTGCTAAGTTTGCAGATACATTTTGCAAATAATTTTAAGTGTAATCTTTATACTTATATTTTGTACACAAAAAAGAATATGCTAAATGGCATAAGCTAAAAACTTGGGTTAAAAAAATAACAACAGAAGATCTGTTTGGTAAAGAGGGCACTGATAAGTGCCCTGAATAACTATGACATTGATGAGGCTTAGTTATTGAGATTTAAGTAAAGTCCATTAGAGTCTCAAAGTACTTGAGTTATTTGGCTTCATAGAATAGCATTTTCTCTAGGTTTAGCTGAAATGTGAAGTAGTTTTTCTGTCTATACCTACCTCAAGGTCTGTAAAAAGCCCTTGATTATTCTGAAGTATGGCATACATGCAGTGTGCCACAGTAACTGCATGTTTCCAGTTGTGATAAGGAACTCGTCGATAGTTTTTCTTAACAGACATAATAAAACGACATAACTTTTCATAGTCAAAGCTGTAGGGGAAAGAAATTGTTATAAAAGTAAAAAAAAAATTAAATCAGTTTATGTCAATTAAAAACTATATACTCTAAAAGAAAAATATCAAAACATGGTTTTATACACATATATCATATCATCCTATAGCTAATTAGTATGTGAAAGGCAGGGTATGCTTTTGTGTTTTTGCCTTTCTTTGGACATACCGCCCTTACCAGAGTGCCTGGGACACACCAGTGCTTGACAAACTTTTGATGACTAATTGATATATGCATACATCCACAAATATATACACTTAGGTTTATATGCATATAAGTTAATATGACAAGCACCTGTGACATTATCTATGTGGAATTTCCCAGTGTAGGAACTTCTACCGACTTAAAGAGAGAACTATCTGGAAAGTATAGCCCTCGGGAGCTGCCCGAGGTCCAGAAATGTTAAATGACTTCACACAGTCACATAGGTAAAAACTGTAAAATGCAGGATCTAAACCCAGCGCTCTGATGTGAAGTCCAAGACTTGATCCACTAAGTAACAATACCCTCCCTCCTTCTCTTCCTTCCATCCACCCATCTATGTATGTATCCATCCATCCTTCTATGTACCCAGCAGTAAATAGGATTATGGGAAGAACAGGGATCTTAGTGGTCAACTAGAGTAAATTTATAGATATAAAGAACAGAGGCCTAGGATTTAAATATGTACACAGCACACGTACGTGCACACACACACACACATCTAGAGTTTCATCAGTGTGTGCATTCTCTGTAACAACACAGATTGCAATCTCTCCCCACCATTCCTTATCAAAAAGTATTAATTAGTTGCTGTGGCCAAGTCTTTTATAATGAGTTCTATGTGCTTAATTAGCGTGGTCCATGAATGATATATGTAGCGCCTGTCTATAGACCCAAGTTAAAAGCTTTTCTAGTTTTGTAGGACCTGCCTGAGCTTGTGTCTGGCAAAGCCTTTGGGTACCCAAAGTCACTTCCACGGTGGGAATGGAGTAGTAATTTGATGGATGATATGTCACCCACACCCACACCTCTTCCTATTGCTAAGAAAAGAAAATTACAAACTTTTCCAAGGAAAAAATGTGTATATTTCTGCCTCCCTCACTTTCTTCTCTCTATAAATAGGAGCTGAAGTATAGAAACTCTGAGAAAGTACTGGCAGAATTCCTTACTCACAGGGATCCCTAAATCAGATCTCTTAAAAATGAGGAGTATATGTGTATATGCATTTCCATTTAAAATGTATACTAGTCAATAAGATACACCTATCTAACTAAATATATGTTTTTACATATATTTGAAATATACCTTATCATTTTTAAGAAGGTAGGGAAAAGCAGGCATAAGTACTTATCTAACCCTCTTTCATTTTACATGGAAATACATTTAACTTTCTCTCTTTCTAGTAAGGCAGACTTGGCTAAACTCAAGAGACTGGCTTGAATAAACTGAGAAAAACTGGGAGAATCTAAGATTTGTAATCTTCCAAACTAGTCCTAAAATCTAAACAAGACAACCAGGGAATGTATTCAATCAACACTGTTTTGAAATATACAGCCACAAAGCATACAAACCCCTGTAAATCCCACCTTTGCAAGCATTTCTGCACTTCACTTGTGTTCAATGAAAACAAAGTATTGAATACTGCTTGGAAAAAGTTGTCATGTAGAATAAATATTCAAAACTATAAAAATACAAAGTGGGGAACTGAATCACAAGTGTTTTCTATACAAGTACAACTCCATTTTAAAGTTTGAAATCTAAATTTTGGCAGTAGCCAAACCCAAGTGTATAAAATTAAACCCTACAAAAGATACAAAAAGTGTACAAAAGGAATTTATATCTACATCTATATCTATCTCTATCTCTCTATATATATGCATATGTGTCTGTCTGTATACCTGTGTGTGTGTGTATATATATTCCAGATTTGTTCTAATCACATTTTATTTTATTTGGCTTTTTTAGAATGTTCAGAAGGAATAAATGTCTGAAGAAGCAATGCAGGAAAAATGCTGATTAAGCTTTAATATCTTAAAGTTTCACTAAGACTTTTGGCACACCCTATATTTTGAATTTTGTTCTTTGGTTGTTTTCAATCATGTTCAATTCTTTGGAACCTCATTTGGGGTTTCTTGGCAAAGATACTGGAGTGAATTGCCATTTCCTTCTCTAGCTCATTTGAGAGATGAGGAAACTGAGGCAAATAGGGTTAAGTGACTTGCCCAGGGTCACACAACTAATAAGGGTCTGAGGCAGAATGTGAACACAGGAACATATGTTTTTCTGACTTCAGTCCTGGCACTCTATCAGTTGTGCCACCTAGATGCCCCTAATGTATTCTGAATAACTGTGGGTAAAGACAGAGTAACTTCTACTAGGCAGTTCAGATCTATAGCCTGAGAAGAAAAGGGGAAAATAGAAGTACAAACACTTGGCACTCACCAGTACTATAGAGATTAGTTAGATCATCGTAAATAAACTAAAAGCCTGATGGACACTGGTTCTCAAAATACAAATATTTAAGGACTACCTAAATTCCTAGCATATAATCATCAGTTGGAAGATATTGGGTGTGAAGGATTTAAAGATGAGAGGAAAATGAAGCATTTTTTTAAAGAAACTGAGTTGTCATAGTTAAACTAGTGACAGAGTGACAAATATGTGCCTTTTTTAATGCTTGCTTTAACAGAAATATTTATGGTTTTAAGTATGGTAAGGACTGTTAAGGGATCCCCAGAACTTGTCTTTTTGAGTTGCCATATTTTGCAGAAAAACTGGAAGCAGCCAGAGCATGCAGGAAGCTCAATGTGCCTAGGACAAAGCCCCCAACCAGAGCTGACACGTGATGTTTGTATCCCAAGCTGGACTGTCTGTGTAACCTTGGGAGTCAAGACAGGCTCCAGGCAGTCTGCACTATTCTACACTAGACTTGTGAAGCTAGAAGTCTGTGAAGATAAGTGGACCCTTCTATTTTCATAGCCTAGCAGTCCCTAAGGGAAAAGAACGCAGCTTTTGCCATCGACTTGCTCCTCCCCTTTGGGAGGAGTTTTATCCTTTTCCCACCTTTACTGCACCTTTTCCCCTCCTTGTTCCCTTCCTGGTATCTCCTCCTTCCTTTGTCCCGCTATTATTAAAAAGGCAAACTTCTGTATGGATTGGGGAACTCTTCGCTCTGCCTTTGCATTCTACATGCATGTTCATTTCTCTAATAATAAACCTAGTTTTTCACATAACTTTTGTAAAGTTGTGATTTCCTATTGACAAGTAGAAAATAGATATTAATTCACAGGCTGCTCTTTAAATAAACATTTTTGAAAATTAAAAAAAGAGTATCTTAAGAATTATCTTTCTTAGTCATGTCTGAAATACTGTAAGTTTTAACTATTATTTATCTGTAGAGCCCTATTCAGACACAGCCTGACAGCAGCTGCCCAACCTTCATGCACAATGTCTTAGAAGAACTGAAAAGCCTTTTTCTGACTTGTCCTAGAACCTCAAAATCTCCTTCTTAGTGAGAAAAAAACCAACACAGTTTTACATTTTTGAAAGTTCAGTATATACTAGAGATTTACAAATAATAACAAATCGAAGAGGAAGAGGTATATGGCATAAAAGGAAACTATATAATGAACAACAACACTCAAATTTCTGAAAATGTATCTCAGAAATTCATACCAGGCTGTCCCACAGGACTGATGTACCATGTAGACAAAAATGGCAGGCCACATTTCCTCAAAAGGACTGATATCAAAATGATACCTGAAATTAGAAGAGGTAAATTTACTTAGAGTACAAGTAACTTAAAATAAACACAAAGACGAAGAAGGAGAAGATAAATTGCCTAGTTATACATCAAGTGATTTAAAATAATTACAGAATAGAATAGCTAGAAGCAATCTTGAAGTCATCCAATCTTTTTTACTTTCCTAGACAAACCTCCCTTCTTTTTAAGAGTCTCTTGAAGAAGCAAATTTCATAAGTTCCCTTTGATTATTAAGATGCAATATTATCAAATGAAACCAGTGAAATGTCATAATTTATTTTAAAACACTTTCAGTTACGGGACGACAGTCCATTCTGAGTCCCTTAAAATTTTTTTAAACAATTTTTTCATTAAAATGAAAAGAAAATGGCTTTCTTTTCAAAGTTAGTCTCAGAATTTTCATAATCAACAGGTGGAATACATTGCCACAAAAAGTACATAATATACAATGTAGAAATTATTTATTCTAATCCTATAACTCATTCTATTGTAAACTCAGTTCACATTTGTTAAATTAGATTCAAATAAATTCAATTCACAGTTATTTGCTACATGAAGGAAGTGTGCTAGGTACTAGTTAAAACTTTATATCTGAAACAATGGATTTTATAAGTACAAAAAAGCTCACAATTCAATTTCTTTGTGGAGGTTTGCTGGGACTGTGAAATGCATGAGGTTTTGCCATTCTTCTGCAGTACATATGCTGTGATAGGAAAGCTTTTCCATGGTTACTCGGTAAATGCACTCTGAATGTCGAATTCTTTGATACATCTGGAAGAAAAATTTCATTAAGAAATTAATACAATTCCATAAATGCATTCTGTAAGGCTCAGAATTTTTCATGTAAAAGATTCACAACTCTTCATCCAGATCAAAACACTGCCCCCACCCTAATCTACAGAAACACATTCATATATTACAGAAACTCTAGAGATCACCACGCAGTTCTGTTTAAAATTTTGTTATATTCTGTTCTGTAATGTTCCAAAATATTGAGTTTTACAGAAATGAGGTGGTCTGTGTCATGGATCCTGCTGTCAAAAGTTACAACACTAGGGAAACACAAGTTATACTCTTAAAGGGCAAAGAACTAAGTAAAAGATGTGAACTACAGGGGGGAAACAACAATAAACACAACAAACCATCCTTCTGATTAGAGAAAAGCTAGTCATGGGAAAGTCTTATTGATGAATGTGATATATGCATGACTAATTTATTTTCTATGCCTACTTCCATCAATGTACTTTATATATCAACACAGCAGGGGATCATAATGTGTGTGGGAAAATAAATTTTAAGCATCATCTATGAAAATATCTAAGAACTTTATCCAGCGAAGATAATTCAGGACCATGCTTTATATTCCATTAAAGACACAGTAGTGAGAGTAAAAGCAGGGACTCCCCTGAGCTCTCCCCCAAATCCCTTCAAATACCTTTAAAAAGTGATTCTGGACAAATTCTAGGTGGAAGAACACACAAAGAAACAGAGTGATGCAAATTTCCAGCCCAAGACAACCGGAAAGGTTGACAGGAAGGGTTTGTTGCACCAGGCTGAGAGACGACCACAGTCTAGCACAGGCCGTGCCAGTACAGACCCGGCCCCAGCAAAGCTGGAGCAGGCCTCAGGGGACTGAATCACTGGCAACAGTGGCAGTTTCCAGATTTCTCAGCTCACGGACACCAGAGACAACTTAGAAGATCAGCGGAGGGTTCTGTTGGAACTAGGTGAGTTAGAGAAGCACAGTTCAGCTCAAGGTACTCCAGTACAGCCCTAAACCCAGCAAATCAGGAGCAGGCCTTGGGAGTGACTGACTTGGCAGCAGCAGGGGCAACAGCAGTGGCAGCGGCAGCGGCACCAACAGCAATGGCTGCTCCTGGAGCTATCAGCCCACAGATGAAATGTTTGAAAGTCACCCATTTCAACTAATGGGAGCCAAGATGGAGAAAAAAGCAGCAAGTTGCTCTCGCCCTCCCTTATTGACCTTGAAAAACTCAGAGAATATTGCCCCAGGAAAAATCCTGAAATAGTGGAGTCAGCAGAAAGACAAGGCGCAGCAGTCTTTTAGCTTGGGAGGTTAGGGGGATCAATGGGAAAGGTCTCTCTTGCTGTGGCTGAAGGGGACCAGTACAGGATGGGAGGTGTCCCAGCAAGCCAGTGGCAAGCCCAACCTCAGCAAGCCAGTGGGACATCCTGAGCCCCAGGGTGGTAGAGCAGGCCAGCGCCAACACCAGGCACACACTAGCCAGCACCACCAGCTCCAGCTCAGCACCAGGTAAACTATCAGATCCCTACAGCCTCCAGCTGCCAACACCTGAGGCCCCCAGCATACAAAACCAGTAACTAGGTCCCTAGCCCAAAGCACAAGAAGCTGGGAAGTACCCCTTGTGCCCCAGAAGCAGAGATCAACTTTAAAAGCCAGAAAAAAGGCAAAAAAACACAAGCAAGAAGCAACAAAGAAAAACAATGATGACAGAGAAGAATCTTGGTGACAGGGAACATCAAAATACAAATTCAGGAGAGAACCACATTGTCAATATACCCATATCTGAAGCCTCAAAGGGGAATATGAACTGGTTTCAAGCCCAAAAAGCCTTCTTGGAAGAGTTCAAGAAGAATTTTAAAAGTCAAATAAGAGAGGTAGAAGAAAAATTGAACAATTCCTTTAAAAATACAATTGATAGAATGGGGGGGAAGTACACTGAAGAAAACAATTTAAAAAGTAGAATTGGCCAAATGGAAAAGGAGTTACAAAAACTAACTGAAGAAAACAATTTGTTAAAAATTAAAATTGGGCAAGCAGAAGCTAATGACTCTACAAGACATCAATAATCAGTCAAACAAAATCAAAAGAATGGAAAAATAGAAGAAAACGTAAAATGCCCAATCGGAAAAACAACTGACCTGGAAAATAGATCCAGGAGAGATAATTTAAGTATTATTGGTCTACCTGAAAGCCATGATCAAAAAAAGAGCCTGGACAGCATCTTTCAAGAAATCATCAAGGAAAATTGCCCTGAGGTCCTAGAACCAGAGGGCAAAATAGTCATCAAAAGAATCCACCAGTCACCTCCTGAAAGAGATCCTAAAATGAAAATTCCAAGGAATATCGTAGCCAAATTCCAGAATTATTAGGCCAAGGAGAAAATACTACAAGCAGCCAGAAAGAAACAATTCAAATATCATGGAACCACAGTCAGGATTATGCAGGACATTGCAGCTTCAACATTAAAACATCAGAGGGCTTGGAATATGATATTCCATAAGTCAAAGAAGCTTGGATTACAACCAAGGATCAACTACCCAGTGAAACTGAGCATACTCTTTCAGGGGAGGAGATGGACATTCAATGAAATAGGGGACTGCCAGACTTTGCTGATGAAAAGACCAGAACTCAACAGAAAATATGATCTTCAAATATAAGACTCAAGAGAGGCATAAAAAGGTAAACGAGAGGAAAAAAAAAAACCATGTTATTCAATAAGAGCAAACTGTTTACATCCCTACATGGAAAGATGATACTTGTAACTCTTGAGAACTAATATCTTTATTACAACATTTAGAAAGGACATACATAGACAAAGGAGGTGGGTTTAAAATGACTTTGATGTGATTATAAAAAACGTAATTAAATGGTGAAAAGGGATTGTAATGGGAGAAGAGGAAAGGAGGAGGCAGAAAAGAGTAAATTACATCACATGAAGAGAGAACCACAAAGACTTATTACAGTAGAGGAAAAGAAGAGAGGGAGATGAGCATTGTTTGAACTTTACTTTCATCAGATTTGGCTCAAGAAGGGAATAACATACTCAGAATATGAAAGAATCAACATCTTACACAGTATACCAAAATAAAATCAAAATGGGTACATGGTTTAGATATAAAGGCTGATAGCATAAGCAAACTGGGAGAACAAGGAATAGTTTACCTGTCATATTTATGGAGAATGGAAGAATTTATGACCAAACAAGAGACAGAGAACATTATGGAATGA